ACACAGGCAGATAGCCACACACTCACACAGGCAGTGACTGTATGCCTCTGTGTGTATGTATGACTGTCTGCCTGGGTGTGTGTGTGTGACACTATTCATACACACACAGGCAGATAGCCACACTCACACACACACACAGGCAGACAGTCATACATACACACAGAGGCAGTCACACACACACAGAGTCACACACACACACACAGACACAGGCAGACAGTCATACATACACACAGAGGCAGTCACACACACACACACACAGGCAGACAGTCATACATACACACACAGGCAGACACACACACACACAGGCAGACAGTCATACATACACACAGAGGCAGACCGTCACACACACACAGGCAGACAGTCATACATACACACAGAGGCAGACAGTCACACACACACATACAGTCATACACACACACAGAGGCAGACAGTCACACATACACAGACAGTGTCACACACAGACAGACAGTCATACACACACACAGAGACAGACAGTCACACACACACAGACAGTGTCACACACACACACAGGCAGACAGTCATACATACACACAGAGGCAGAGACACACACACACAGAGTGTCACACACACACAGGCAGACAGTCATACATACTCACATAGGCAGACAGTCACACAAACAGACAGTGTCACACACACACAGGCAGACAGTCATACATACATACACAGAGAGGCAGACAATCACACACACAGACAGAGTCACACACACACACACACACACATACACAGGCAGACAGTCATACATACACACAGAGGCAGACAGTCACACACACAGATAGTGTCAATCACACACAGACAGTCACACACACAGATAGTGTCACACACACAGTCACACACAGATAGTGTCACACATAGTCACACACACAGATAGTGTCACACACACACACAGTCACACACATAGTGTCTCACACACACACACACAGACAGTCAGTCACATACACAGATAGTGTCACACACACACACATACAGTCACACACAAAGATAGTGTCACACACACACACCCAGGCAGACAGTCATACATACACACAGAGGCAGACAGTCACACACACAGATAGTGTCACACACACACACAGACAGTCACACACACACACAGACAGTCACACACACATATAGTGTCACACACACACACACACACAGACAGTCATACACACACAGGCTGTGTCACACACATACACAGGCAGAGTCATACATACACACAGAGGCAGACAGTCACACACACAGATAGTGTCACATATACACATAGAAAGACAGTCATACACACATATAGTGTCACACACACACACAGACAGTCATACACACAGGCTGTGTCACACACATACACAGGCAGACAGTTATACATACACACAGAGGCAGACAGTCACACACACAGTGTCACATACACACACAGCCAGTCACACACACAGATAGTGTCACACACACACACAGGCAGACAGTCATACACAGGAAGTGTCACACAGGCAGTGTCACACACATACACAGGCAGACAGTCATACATACACACAGAGGCAGACAGTCACACACACAGATAGTGTCACACACACAGATATTCACACACACAGATAGTGTTACACACACACACAGTCACACACACAGATAGTGTCACACACACGCAGACAGTCACACACACAGATAGTGTCACACACACACACAGACAGTCATACACACACAGGCTGTATCACACACACACATATACACAGGCAGTCACACACATAGATAGTGTCACACACACAGAGAGTCACACACACAGATAGTGTCACACACACACAGGCAGACACACACAGACACACTGACCTGCTTCTTACCTCCACATCCCTTGAAACTCCTGGAGGCTGGTTGTTGGGGAAGCAGGGACTCGTTCCTGCTTCCCATGCAGCAGTTACCAGGGCCCCCGTCGCACGCTAAGCTCCGCCCCGCCGCACGCTAGATCCGCACCTGCTGGAATATTTTTTTTTTAACATTGGCCGGCCGGGATCATTAAAAATAAAATATTGCAGCGGGGCGGAGCTGAAAGGGAGCTGAAATTTCCCGGTATCCCGGTGGGCCAGTCCAGTCCTTCTCCTGCAATTTTTCTTTTCGCACAACCAAAAGGTATAAAGAGGAGGCGGGAGCTGCAGTGTCCTTGGTGTCCACAGGTAGGGAAGCAAGTGACCATCCCCAAAAGTCTACTTTCTGCTTGCCCTTTACAATGCACAGTAACACGCAAAGGGTGCTGGTATATTACTCAGCCTGCTGCCTGTTGTGATAATGTAGGCCACTAAAAAAAGGTTACTGCAAGGTTATTTTTACACGAAAGAAGACATAACATTTCACAACTGCTACAGCAATCGACAATGATATTTTGTGACTTTCTAGAGCCTCATCCATGAGGTTTTACTGATACCCCTCTAGGTACAATGAGTCAAAATCAGGGCTATCCTTTGACTTAGGAACACCCTAGTCATATGTCAATTAGCTAGTCTTCAATCCTTTAAGAAGCTCATGAATTGAGAACAATATATGGCCAAAATCGCTTGCTCTCTCAACTTAATTAGTGGCTCCATACTCCCTTCACCCTCACCTTCCACCTCCTCTAGATTGTTAGCTCATATTTGTTAAATGCCACCTTTTGTATTATTATTATAAGCATTGGGGTACAATCGGATACTATGTAAATGCCAACATAATAATAGCTAGAACATGAGATATGAGAACACAGAGCATAGTCTTCATTTGGATTTCATGGCTCATTTGTGCTATTACAGGAGAAACATATGTCTCGGAGGTATCCTGGGAACACAAATTACTGCTTACTCAAGCACCTATCCCATATAGGGATAAGCAAGACAATTAATTCAGTAATTTATAATGTTGATACAGAAGTTGCACTAGGTCTAATGAATGAAAGGTGTAGACCAACAGCAAAACATATGTGAAGAAGGCTGTACTTCATGGACGCAAGTCTCTTTTAAGCTATGTAACTATGTAACTGCTCCACAGAAGATCTTTATATGCCTCTATCTAAAGAGACTGTCCAGTGGTATATATATGGCTCTCTAACTCACTATGATTAATCTATACCTTCCCAGCAAAGGGATTTCGAGAATAGCAGGTGTGCATTATATCCTCCCTATTAAGAGGGCCTGCAAGAGAATCATTGTGTGTAGTGTCAGGTATTGGAAGGCAAAAAGTGAATTATCCCTTTGGTTTAATTTATTATTAAATGTGAACTATTTTTGACAGTTATAGCCTGTTAAATTGTGTTTGGAAATAAAATAGCTGCTTGTATATACAGATTCCTGACATACACATGGATTTTATTTAGTTGTTTAGAAAAGGTCAACAAAATGTTCAGGACACAGAAAGACTAGATCGTCAAACTGCAATTGGGCAAAATAATAGAAACCCTGTAGTCACTAGGGAAACCAATTGAATCTGCTGGAACATTTTACTGGTTTATTAGTGTTTCAGATTTAAAACTTTGCCTCACTTTTCCTTGAAATAAAAATGTACAAATACAGTTTGCAATTATGGCATCAAAATAAGCAAAAATGAGATCTAGGAGACCATAGTGACCAGACTCTTAAATCAAAGTACCCAGGATACATAGTATATATTATGCATCACAACTACACATCGAGCCAGTAGTGATGTGGGTGTGCCAACAGTAGTGACTTGTGAGTTAAAGCACTCTTATAGTGGCCTAATTTCTATCCCACAGGCTTTGCTGTTTTTATCATGAAATATAGTATAACTGCATCTGCTGGTATAAACAAATGTTAAACAAAGAGTATAGAGTAGATGTAGGAAAATGTCAAACAATGCAATGAGATCAAATGTTTATTTTAGAACTGCATTTGCAGAGAGATTAAATGTTCATTTACACAAATATGTTTTCCCTAGAAAAATAATCTGTAGACCTTTTCATCCCACTTTTCTTGTGTCATTACACCTGAGTATCGTTGACCTTTAAAGGTAATGCGTTCATTGAAATAAAACATAATTAATGCTATTTTTCTATCCACTAATCCATGTAATCATGTGTATTTTAGACAGTTTAAGGCTGCTTTTGGACAGCAGACAGCATTTTTATGACCATTCTAGGCATATTACTATGTCACAGCAATTAATATACTCTTCAATTGCAATTTAAATAGGTCATCTACAATGTCTCATTTGAAGTCTGTAGGTTAAATTGCATAATGCTAACTTCATCAACAGAGAGAATGCTACAGGATATAAAAAAAAAATAAGCTTTTGATAAATACTAAAATTGCTATTTTACCATGATTTATATGTCACGGCTAGTGAAACATGTGTGGAGGTTTCTTTGTTATTATTATTATGTTATTATTTATATAGCGCCAACAAATTCCGCACCGCTTTACAATGGGTGGATGATCAGACATGTCGTTATAATCAGACAAGATGGACACACAGGAAAAGAGGGGTTGAGGGCCCTGCTCAATGAGATTACGTTATTATTATTATTATTGCCATTTATATAGCGCTAACAGATTCCGTAGCGCTTTACAATATTATTAGAGGGGGGATTTAACTATAAATAGGACAATTACAAGAAAACTTACAGGAACAATAGGTTGAAGAGGGCCCTGCTCAAACGAGCTTACAGTCTATAGGAGGTGGGGTATAAAACACATTAGGACAGGAAAAAGCAATCAAATTAGGTGGGAATGAAGCAAAGCTGGAGTAGAGAGTAGAGTCCCTTTAGGAGAGAGCAAGAGACAGGTATGGGTTTTAAGGCACTTCTTAAATGATTGAAGACTTGGGGAGAGTCCTGCAAGCGCAAGTTGGCCGCATAGGTGCGAGCAGCGGACAGAAGAGGGAGTGGGGTAAAGTGACAAAAAGGTAAGGATAGTATTAGACTAATGACAGTTACAAGAGAGGAATCAGTCAGGAGCTATTAACAGTTTAATTGATATGCTTCTATGAAGAAGTGGGTTTTTAATTATTTTTTGAAGGAGTGGTCTTTGTATTTGTATCGTCGTAAATGTGTGTGCAGAGCAGACTGTAGTTTCCTATGGATGGATGATAATTAGAAATATTTACATCAGCGGGTCGTTTTTCTTTTCCAATTATCCTGGAATAATTAGACAAAGCAACAATGTTCAGACACATCCAACTTTATTTTTTTCCTGTCAGAAAAGTGCGAAAATTACACCGAAAATACTCCAGTCTCTGCTAACTACCAACAATAAACACATCACACAATTAGGAACAGCTGAGATAGTGAATTGTTTATACATTTCAAGTGGCGATGGATTTACAGGTGAGAAGTGGGGGAGAAATAAATCTAGATGATAATTTGGCACTATTATTCAGGTAGGTTATATACGGTACACCTTTAGCACAGCACATTTCAATCATTCTGCATGGTTCTCACATGTTTTATTAAAAAAGAATTGGACTGTAAAAGCAATCAGTTAGGAAATATTCTGTTAAAAATCTTTTCTCTGGAGTGTATCCTTCACAGCCCCTAACTTTTATGTTGAAACACATAAACTTCCATTTCCTTCTAACGTAATACTGATTAATTTGTGCCAATAGGTACAAGGAGGGTGGTCTATAACTTCCCACTACTTATAATACTATTAGGTTTTTCTTTTGGCAAGAACCATCTGTAAACACATTTTTAGAATTAAATGATTGTTTTGATGGTGATGTCATAATTTCACCTGGATAAATCGAACTTGAACTTTTCTACTGCGGTACTTATATATAAAATACTGTACTGATAATTATTAATGATCAGCGTTAATATTAGGTAATAAAATAGTTGCTTATGGGGCATCAATGTAGAATAAATGTAGCTACAAACCAATTCGTCTATAGATGTTAGATTAAATATATCCACTATCAAAAGAAACACTTTTCCATCCCCTATCACTAATATTTTGGGGAAAAGTGTCTAGCCCCATGTGTGTAATATCCATAAATTTTGTATCTTTATTTTTTTTATTTTTTTATTTAGGAGACATCTCCTATAAACCATCCAAACCTACATACTAATTTAAAGGACCACTCTAGGCACCCAGACCACTTCAGCTTAATGAAGTGGTCTGGGTGCCTGGTCCTTCTAGGGTTAACCCATTTTTTAATAAACATAGCAGTTTCAGAGAAACTGCTATGTTTATGAATGGGTTAAGCCTTCCCCTATTTCCTCTAGTGGCTGTCTCATTGACAGCCACTAGAGGCGCTTGCGTGCTTCTCACTGTGATTTCACAGTGAGAGCACGCAAGCGTCCATAGGAAAGCATTGTAAATGCTTTCCTATGCGACGGGCTGAATGCGCGCGCAGCTCTTGCCGCGCGTGCGCATTCAGCCCAGGAGGAGGATCGGAGGAGGAGAGAAGGCAGAGAGCTCTCCGCCCAGCGCTGGAAAAAGGTAAGTTATTACCCCTTTTCCCCTTTCCAGAGCCGGGCGGGAGGGGGACCCTGAGGGTGGGGGCACCCTCAGGGCACTATAGTGCCAGGAAAACGAGTATGTTTTCCTGGCACTATAGTGGTCCTTTAAGTTTTGTTGTGAATATTTAACTTTAACGGTATAAGCAATCTCAGTTTTGCGGCTACATAGTTCAGTGTCTTTTCACAAATATCCGCTTTGACACTTATTTTGCTTCCACATTTGACATTGAAAATATTATTCCTTTACCATACTGTATTCAGTTGACATCATCTTTGTCATCACAAAAAAACATTAAGACTCGTAATCTTTGTTTAATTCCACCTTCACGACTACCTTAATGCTTTCTTGACGGTTATTTTGTGTATCCTAGTGAATTAAGCTTTTTCCAGTCCATGTAAGCTGTGCTGCTACATCACAAAGAACAAAGATTGAAACTACTGAAATGACCTTCAAGCAAAATATTATCGGCTTGCATATGTCTGCACCTCACGTGGCCAATGAGATACAATAGCTGAATTTGGCAACGCTAAAAAAAACGATAATTTAACAGATCATTTTCTTTGTTTTTTTTTTAACAATTAACATTAAACATGCCTTTGTACAAGGTTGTGAGTTGGTTACAAATAAACAATAACAGCACAAAAAGAAAGATTTTCGTTTTTTTTTTGTTTGTTTAATCACTCCCGCAAGTTTTTATTTTTTTTCACTTATTTTTTTTTTTATCTTCGTTTTACTTCCCATCTTCAATGTGACACCGCATCTGGGCCACTTTCAATATTCTGGAAACAGAGATGTTACTTGATTACATCACTTGTTAGTGGCCATCGGTTTTACTTGCCTTGGCTTCATGATTTGCAGATCCCGAGGAAAGCCAAGGAGACACAGACCGTGAGCTTGTTTGCTTGGCCATGCTGTAATGACTGATAACAGTGTAGAATCTTCCTCGTGAGTTGGAATCCTGTGCTGAGTAGTAAGCATCCAAAGAAGATGGTATACATCGCTTATGCTGTAAGAAAATTAAATGGGTCTGTAAAATAACAATTCAGTAACCTTTACCAACTATTAAATATGCATCAAAACAAGATGTACATTCCATTCCATATACACTCATTTAGAAGACAAAGTTGTAGTGGTGAAAATATCCCTAATGATCGTATATATGAGACGTTCAATAATGGGGTATTGAGAATATTATTGTATATTATTATTGAGGACAGTGGTTTAACATTACATTTCTGACCCTTCCAAGACTTTTCTGCTAGCCTTTACCCCTCATTCTGTATTAATAGCCATATATTTGTTCCCATTTGCATTATTTTATATTTCTTCCCCCATTTGTTTTCATGTTAATACTTAATATTTGGGCAAATCTCGTGATATTCTGATGGCCCTGGGATGTCAAAGGTCACAAGGCGTTAACATTTGCATTTCTAGGTGGAAAACATTCTATGCCTACCTTGTACACAAATCCATCTGGGCAGCTGTGGTCATACGTGAAGGCTTTATACACAACAAGGAATACTATGCACGCAAGAAAGGCAAGAGCCAGGCTGATTAAGATGGTTACCTAGAAATATTGAGAAATAAAAGTAAGGCATTGCTTCCTCCAACATAAAACTTTCAACAAAAACACATTAAGTGGGATTATTTTAGTTCTCATTCTCTTCCTCTCTCTCAATACTCCACAAATCACTTTATTCATCCATCCATCTGTCTATGTGTCCATCTATCTGTCCATCTAGTGCTCTACCCATATAGTTATCTGTCCATCCATCCATCTCCTCTATCTATCTTTCATGGATAATATAGAGATATCCAGTAGTATGAATATGATTACGGTCTAATAGGAGTAGAGAGTTTCCTGCTTCTGTGCTAAAGAAAAAAATACATCTGAACGTTATTAGGGAAATGTTCCCTCTAATCTTCCTTTCGAGCAAACACTACATCTTTCTATGCATGGCCTTTGGATAATGTATCGTAAAGTAATTACACATCAGATCTCAAGGATTTCAAAGGAGAAAACAGAGCTTTTGAAGAGGTTTGTGCTTTCAGCTCATGAACTGTTGGAAAGAGAGGCTTTATTACATCTCTTTCCATTAAGAGGTCAGATGTGACAATCGCAATCAACCCACAGGCTTTCTAAGCATTAGATTTGCTCTTAATTCATGTGCATTATGCAGTAAGAAGTCAATATTTTTTTTTTCTATACAAAACACATTTGTCTATAAAACACCCAAAAGGAGTATTTGCTGCACATATTCTATCATTACTGGAGCTAATAATAGCTATATGCCCATTCAGCCAAGTGCACGTATCATTATGAGTAGTATATAACAGCTTTCCCTAATATAGAGATTACAGGGGATATTTATCAAAATGGCATATTTTGAAAGTGGTGCAATTTTTTTAAAGTAGGGCAATCACCATGGAGACCAATGCACTCTGCAGGAACATTCTATTGTTAGTCATTTTCATTTTACAACTTAGCACCAATTTTCTGATCACTGTGCTGACATTATCACAATATAATATTACGTTCACATAGCCAGCTTTTGTGAAAAGGATCAGTATTCTAGTAGATCTTCCTGGATGAACTACTTACGTCTTGTGTTAGAAGCTAAAAATATTGGTCCTTTTCCAATTAATAAGAAATAGACCCACGTTGTAATTCCTGCACCACTTTTATACATTTTTGCAAAAGAGTACAAGATCAAAATTAATTTGGAGAAGATTAGAGAGTTAGATTAGAGCAGAGGTAGTCAACTTGGTCCCTACTGCCCACTAGTGGGAGGTTTGGGATTTCAGGTGGGCGGTGGTGGGTTCTGCAGAAAATGCCTAGTGAGCCTCGATGGCCGTGGACCAAGGCCGGCAGGGGAGATCCTTTCATCTCCCCTGCCGGCCCATGCAGATCTCCCTCACCGGCCCCCTGGCACTTAGTTCCAACAGAGGTAGGGAAGGGCGTGGGAGGCACTTTGTTCCTCCCGTGAGCAGGGTGGTCAGTGCATTGCCATGCATTACCATGGCAAAGCTCCAATACAGTGTGCTCGCAGGAGGACAGGAGAGTCAGCTTGCAGCCGGAGGAGCTGCAGGCTAAAGTGAACATGCCACCACTGGACCACCAGGGCTTGCCGCATTATGTCCCCCCTCTCTGGTAAAAGGTAAGAAGAAGGGAGGGGGAGACATTAAGATAGATTTTTTAACATCTCACCCACCTACACACAGCATAGACCCTATGCACCTTTCACACACAAACACACACTACACACACACACACACACAGACTGCCCTCTCACACACATTATACCTCCCCCCCACACACACTCCCCCTCACATGCATACACAAAGACTGCCCCCTCACACAGGCTGCCCCCTCACACACACTCCACCTCTCACACACTGCCCCTTTATCACACACACTGCCCCTTCACACACACTGCCCCCTTCACACACACACAGTACCCTTCACACACACAGCAACCCTGACACATGCACAGCACCTCTAACACACACACACACACACAGCACCTCTCACACACACACTACACCCCTCACCCATATACAGCACCCCTCACGGACACATTCACCCTTCACACACACACTGCACCTATCACACACACACTGCACCCTTCACGCACCCACTGCACCCTCACACACTGCACCTCTCACATACGCACACACTACACCCTTCCCACACAAACACACACACAGCACAGCACCACACAAACACACATATAAGTGGAATAGAAAAAAATTGAAAAAATAAGATTCATTTAAGGAAAAAAAAAATTCCTTTCTAAAATTTTTTACAAAAAATGCACCATCAACAAAGATACAAGCTTGACTACCCCTGGATTAGAGAGGCAGAAAGAGGGAAAAACATGTATTCGTGACCCTATAGTGTTAACACCACCATCTATAGTGTCCCTTTAAGTAAAAATGTTGCTTTAGGACAGATTTATAAAAATCAGGGTATTTTGATATATTCACAACACCATATCTAAAATGTCATTAGAGTTGGTATTAAACAAATAATGAGTTACTCCAACCTCCATGACCACATCTGTTTTTAAAGGTGATTGCATAGCAAGGAATCTGTATGTGCAGTGTTTCCGCTTGAAATCCAGCCTTTACATAGAGATTTGCACAGTTATGCTGGGATTTAGTTGCACTTCCAGCAAGCAGTACTTAGATAGCCAGTAACTCTGTTCTGCGCTGCCTGATGTTAATTTTGTACAAAGATGCAAAGCTCGCTGGTGATGGACATAATCAGCTACTACCTTTGCAGGCAGCTCAGTGAGTACGCCTGCTAGGAAAGGTTGTATGTCCCCTCCTTTTATTCTCCCAGCTCTCCCCACCTCTTTACATTGTCTACATTAGTTCCTTTTTTTTAATCCTCACCCCCTTGTCCACCCTGCCACCCCTTGTCCCTTTTTTTTAATCCTCACCCCTTGTCCAACCTGCCACCCCTCTCTCCCTTTCTCAGCTCAGAACTAGCCCATGTGCTCTGAGACCGTGAGATTTGTGAGAAATGACAAGCATATGTCTGGAACTCTAGGAGGGAAGCAGTGATGCAGGGTGACAACAGATGGGGCATGGACAGGAGTTTGAGA